TCCATAACCGTCTGCCTAACCCCACCCGTCATCGGGACCCAAACCCAACCACATCGGGTTAATAGTCCCCGACTATCCTTCACGAACTGGGTGTCCTCGCCTTTGATCGATTCCAGCTTCCAATGTTCTGGGTGGATGCCCTTGACTTGGGCATCTCTGATCAAACCCACCAGCGGAGAATCCAATGATATCCTCATACATACCGCTGGGGTGGAAGACCCTACTAACTTGCAGCTCAAAGCGTCCACCACTACATTCGCTTTACAGGGATGGTAAAGAATCTGACAATCATAGTCCTTGACTACGTCCAGCCACCTACGTTGCCTCATGTTCAGGTTTGGCTGATCCATGATATGTATGAAGCTCTTGTGATCCATGTAAATGGTACAACGGACCCCGTATAGATAGTGTCTCCATATTTTGAGAGTAAACACCACCGCCCCCAACTCCAAGTCATGCGTAGGGTATCTCGTCTCATGCGACTTTAGCTGCCGCGATGCATAGGCTATCACTCGTCCCCTTTGCATGAGGACCGCCCCTAAACCTATGATGGATGCATCACAGAACACCACAAAATCCTCAACTCCCTCCGGGAGTGTCAACACTGGAGCCTCGCACAATTTCTGACGGAGGGTCTCAAACGCCCTTTGATGCTCGGGACCCCATCGGAAATCCACTCCTTTCCTAGTCAGACGAGTGAGTGGCACTGCGATCTTGGAGAAGTCCCGTATAAACCTCCGGTAGTACCCTGCCAAACCCAGAAAGCTCCTAATATCCGAGGGAGACTTCATAACATCCCACTGCATAACCGCCTTGATCTTGGTCGGATCGAACAAAATCCCCACCTAGTTAATGAGATGTTCGACGAACTGGACCTCCCGTAGCCAAAACTCACACTTCGAGAACTTGGCATACAGCCGTTCCCGTCTCAGAACTCCCAACAGCTCCCGCAGATGGTCCGCATGCTGCTCTCGGGTCTTGGAATACACCAAAATGTCATCTATAAATACTATGATCGCGCGATCAAGCATCGGTCTACAGACTCGATTCATCAAGTCCATGAACACCGTTGGCGCATTGGTAAGCCCGAACGGCATCACCACGAACTCGTAATGTCCATAACAAGTTTGGAACACGGTCTTCTCCACATCCTCCTCTCTGACCCTGACCTGATGATACCCAGACCTCAAGTCTATCTTAGAAAACCAAGATGCACCCTATAATTGGTCGAAGAGATCATCTATCCTCGGGAGCGAGTAACGGTCCTTCACTGTCAAGTTATTCAACTCCCGGTAGTCGATACACATCTGGTGCGAACCATCCTTTTTTCGGACGAAAAGTATCGGTGCTCCGAATGGAGAACTACTAGTCCAAATGAACTATTTGCCCAACAGTTCTTGCAGCTGCGATGACAGCTCCTGCATCTCTGGCGGTGCCAACCGGTACGGTGCCTTAGCAATAGGGGCGGCACCTGGCACCAGGTCAATCCTGAACTCAACTTGCCTTTCGGGAGGTATCCCTGGTAATTCCTCCAGGAATACATCTGCGAATTCCCTGACCACCGGCACGTCGGAAACCGAAATCTGGTCCCTGTCTCGCGTATCTATCACATACGCTAGATAACCTGTACACCCATGCTGAAGGTACTGCCATGCCCTAGCAGCTGAACAAAACCCTGATCCCACTCTGGTGCCCTCGCCGTAAACAATCAGTTCTCCCCCACTTAGGGTTCGAACTACTACACGCTGCCCCTCACAGTCGATCATGGCACCGAATCGACTGAGCCAATCCATGCCTACAATAACGCATACCTCCCCCGTGGGAATCAGAAACAAATATATTGGAAATGACACCCTGAAAATCTCCAAGTCACACCCTCGATAAACTGAAGAAGCAGAACCCTGTGTTCGTTGGCGATAGACATTCGCAACGGACACTCTAACTCGCCCACTGGTGCACTGAACCCCCTACTAAATGTCTGAGATACGAAGGACCGACTCGCCCCCGAGTCAAATAAGACCAAAGTAGGCAAGGAGTTCACTAAAAACGTACCTAATCATAGGTGCCACAGATAAGAATGCAACAGATATAAAAATAACGAGATCAGGATACAAACATACCAGCAACCACATCCGGTGCTGCTCTGGCCTCCTACGCTGTAAGCTGGAAGGCACGACCCTGAACCTTTGGAGGCTCGGTACTGACTGGTCTCCCATCTGTGATCCTCAAAGTAGCCGGCGCTGGAGCCTGTGCTGGCTTGGCGGTGAGTAACCGGCAGTTGCCTTCAAATGGCCAACCTGATCACAATGTGACATAACCTCAGACTCTGAACTGGACCGGCTTGGCGACAGTCCCTCGCGTAATGCCCCTCCCTTCCACACTTGTGGCATCCACTACCAGCTCGATACATACTAGAATGACCCTTGCCACACTTCCCACAGTGCGGCTCTACTGACCCCCAGTCCTAGTATCAGCGGTCTTAGACTGCTTGGCGCCGATTGAGAATGTGTCGGGGCCTGCTGCTGTTCTCTCAACTGTTGTGTAATCTCCAACTCATGCCGTCTGGCGGCTCCTACAATCTAGAAGAGTATCACATTGCAGGGTAGACACAAACTGACGGATATCCATCTTGAGCATACTTCAGATAACGAGTC